TAGACCACTTAAGTTATACTGCGATAATAATCCGGTAGTACAGTATGCTCACAACAATAAGTCAAGTGGTGCTGCCAAATATATTGACATAAAGTATTATGTTGTGAAAGATAAAGTCCGGGATCATGTCATAAGTCTTGAGCATATAAGTACTGAAAAGATGCTCGCGGATCCGCTTACAAAAGGCTTACCACCCAACGTGTTAAGAGAACATGTAGCTAGCATGGGTTTAAGAGAAAGCCTAAAATTCCTGGACAAAAAAGGCCTAAAGTTAAGTATCTATTTCAGAACAAAGTGGTGTGTTGTAGCTGTTAAATCTATCGGTAATTGACCGTGATGATGAAACATGCTCTATGCGCTAATCTGTAATGGAATGAATAAAAATAAATGATATGAAATTGAAAGATGGTAGTGAGATCAAGGGGAAGAATGTTAGTTGATCTCCACCAAGGCCCTTGGATCTACGCCCTGATCGGGGACGCCCAACCCTAATATGGTTGGTGGGCCCCTGTCGCACAGCACTATAAAGAGATGTGGGGATCAGGGCTCTAACTATGAGGTTGACCGGAGCCGCCGTGACCCACCAACAGAAAAACCTAACCCGATCTAAAGAGGGTGCTGCCAGCGACGGGAAGATCCACTGACTTCGGCGTCGTCGCCACTGGACCTTGCCACCACTACGCTGGACTCCACTGCGCCGAGCTACCACGACACCGACGTCCAAGCCGCTGCGGCGCCATGGACCGAATGATGACCTAGGGCGAGGTACATCAACAGTTTCCCCATCTAAGTAAGATGCTTACCCCTGATCTACGGTTCTGAGGTACTTTGTGTTCCAACAGAACTAAGGGTTCGATTTGTGGACACGCTCGTGTTTGGGGAGAAGAGAGCAGAGTCTGAAATTTATATTGCCTTGTTTGCTTGGCTGATAAGTCATGGCTTAAAGTACTGTTGGATGATTTGTTGTGAGAGAAAAATATTGTTCGTTGACTGAAAAAAGTACGGCTTATAAGCCAAGCGAACAGGGCGTATGAGAGATAGAGGTGTTGTGATGAAATTAGAGAGAAGTGATAGACTACAGGAGATGCAACAAGGCAATTGAGTGATAGTTTGGGAAATGTGATAGAATACAAGCATCAGTAGTACCATGTTGACAAGGTGGGAGGTGCTGTTAAGTAAAGAGGGCCTTAATTTCTATGGCAAGTGAGAGTTATGCAGTAGAAAGTATTGGAAGAAGCAGGCAGGGTCTAAAATTTATGGGAGACAGTGTGCTGCAGTTAGAAAGAAGTGATGTACAAATTAGTATACAGTTGCATTGATGAGTAGGGTATGGGTACAAGGGAAGTTGACAGTGAAATTTTTAGTGGAGGTGTGGTGGCAGAGTGCTTTGTGCAGTGCAAGAAATACAGTTCAGGAGGTGCTAGAAATATGAGTGCTAGATAGAGAGAAAAAGGCCCGTAGGCTACAGCAATGAGTGCTAGATAGAGAGAAAAAGGCCCGTATGCTACAGCAATGTACTAGTTATAGGCATGTAAGTGAAGGGCTCAAAGACAGTAAAGAGCAGTGACAGATTGCTGAAGTAGTAGATCAAAAGCACACGTAGTGGTGCGGTGGTCACAGAAGTCGAGTTCATCAGTAACTAAACAGGAGAGCCATGATCTTTCATAGCGAGTCATGGGTGACATATTGCTGTCAGAGAAGTAAGATGAGCAGAATTAATGGAGGTATTCACATATACCTACGAATGAATGGGCGTGAGCAGTGATTGGCTGGCAATGGATCCCCATGGAGAAGTCATCCTGGAATATGCAGAAGTGCAGGAGCGGGCTAGCTGCGTGCAGCGGTAGCGACTATCCAGTGATACTACCCAAATTTCAGAAAGCGCGGAGCTGATAGTGCTGAAACAAATAGCTTGTTTGGAGTGTGCTTTGGGAAGGCTGTGAAGAACTTTGTGCATATAAAGAAAGCAGTGTAGTGTCATGGCAGCAACAGCTTGGCGTCCACTATAGAGATGCAATGCAATATTGTTTGCGATGAGAAGAGCTAGGCTGTAAACCACCACCCAAAACAGCAAGGCGTGGATATTGATAGTGCTCAGCCATGTAAACTTTCAGTAGATGTGTCCCCCAAATTGCAGTTTGGCAGTGTGTGTTGTGTAATAAACAAGCAAGATGTAAAATGCATGGTACAGAAATTAGCATGCGTTTTGAAGTGTAAGGTTGTCATGAGGATTAACTGAAAGGAATAGCATGTACCGTGTAACTCTCAGAATGTTTGAAATATTTTGGACATGACAGGTTATTAGTAGCCTATTGTGAATTCGGCCCTATGATTCAAGAGTAATCCTCACAGTGCACCAATTTTGTAAACGTGACGGGTTGTGCTTGTGACGTGCACCCTGGTGGGGCCTATGTATAAAAAAAAAATCGAATTATGTAGCCGTTAGTCGATCAGTTCCTACCTAGAACTTGTTCTAGTAAAGTGGTGTTTGTGCCCATACACGCTAGTGGTTCCTGGCTGGAACTTGTCAACGTGATTAAGATGTGTGGCATGGTGACTAAGCTGCCGTCGTCTCCGTCTCTATGCACGACCAAATCAGAGCTTGGCAGATACATGTTGTTGCGTTTGTGGTGAAGTCATGATTAAATTTCTAGACCGACGAGGCTAGGAAAAAATGAGTTACCAGCTCACTCCGTGACTGACAAGGCCGCAGATGCTCAACCTTGGCCGACGAGGCAGGGTATTCATTTGTTCGCGACGGACGAGGCCGAGCATTTTCACAGACTTCACTCCAAACTCCGTGACCAACGAGGCCGGACAACATACGCCATTGACCGACGAGGCTGTGGCAATTTTATCGTTACTTAATATTGTGTCATTATTCATGCATACTTAGAGATCACAACACTCAAGACCCGAGGCACGACCATCATCGCAGTTTAATCGGAGGTCTTTCATTCTATGGATGTAATTAACCGGATTGTCTTACGAGACCCCGGGAACCTAGAACTACATGTCGACCTGTACTTCAGATGTATTAGGCGCAATGAAATGTAAATCCCAAGTGGGCACGTGTAGTTTGTAATTCTTCAAAGAATTAATAAAGATTAGAGTTCTCTGAATTTGTTGTCTATTTAATTTATTTTATACACTTATGTATACCGGCACGCCCGCGCATATTATTTATTTATCTACGCATTAGGGTCTACTCCCCTATCCGGGAGCACGTTTCCTTTTGGCGAAACAACTAGTATCAATTAGCCAAGTTAACAGAGTTTTCTTGGGCCAAGTTAGCAGCTCAAGGTGGCAATGCCACGAGGACGAGGACCGATCTTGGGCCCGACCCGAGCTGCAACTGGAACTGGAACTGGACTGGAACCAAACCAAATCCTGAATGTGAACCCCATTGTCTGTTTGCAGAATTAAGGTGCTGTTTGGTTATCCGGATTCTTAAAATCTACTGGTAGTGGGCCTGTTCGCTTGGAGGAATTCTGGAGAAATTTGGATGGTTTGGAGGAACTTGTGAGAGAAAAATATTGTTCCAGATGAAAAAAGAAGCGGATCAAGCCGGATTTAAGGGCACGCGAACGGGCCCACTGATATATATCTCGGACACGATACAAGTACTAATTTCGACTGTATACAACCAAGAAGAGCTGAATAGGAATAGGTGGCAGCGGCTTGACTGTAAAAATGCTGCCGTGCCGCGTGCGTAAATTAACAACAGCTCCCGGCGCCCTCGTGCCACTGTCGTCTTTCACTTGCTCAGTATCAGTAGTAGCACTAGTACCCAACCAACAACCCTACCGTCGCTAATTCTGCCTTTGTTCAGACATTGCTGCTACTAATCCATTCTTCTTCAAATCAAATTCATACGGGGAAGGGGAATGAAACAATCAGGGAGGACGCCGGCTGGGGATCAAGAGCTGTTCTGCCGATGGTTTCTGTAGCTAAAGTGTTTTGTTATGAGAGAAAAATGTTGTATCATAGCTGATAAGCCAGGCTAATAAGTTCAATGCGCACTTGCATTTCATTTGACACCACAGTATATACATTCTGAATTTCTCCCAGTACGGTACTGTACAGGGGACTGGAGTACCAGGACGCACAGGTGACAGGGAAACACATACTAGCGGATGCATGGTTTCAGAGCCACCAAGGCAACCTTGTGACTGTCAGAGTGCAGCAGCTGTACAAGCTCAGGACAGCTACCTTTCTCCCTTCATCTCTGATGCTGTGAATTGTGATGTGAGTGATGCAAACGCGATGCAGACACCCATGGGCCATCCATCCATGGGAACCAACAAGTCAATTAGTGCTACCAGTTGTTGTCCAAGAGCCAGTAAAAATATAACTGCACACACCTACATCTGATGGATTCCCTTCCTTCGTTTCCAATCCCAAGCATTTTCTTCATTTCTCAATCTCATCCACCGCCCCGTCCAGAATCAATGCAATGCAATTGCAATCATGCAAATGCAAGACAGCAACCGACGCAGCAACTAGTGCCGTGGACTGTCGACTACCATACCATACCATTACCATTACCATTACCATACCAATCAGGATTTAGGAGTACCAACCAACCAACAACACCCCACATGCATTTCCACCATTTCCTCGCCCTCCTCCTTGCTACTGCCCACCGGTTGCCATTGCTGGCTTTCCGGCTTCAGGACGGACTGACGACCCCGGCTGGCCGAAACCACACACAGCTACAACTCACTCTTTGAGCAAGCACGCACGGATCAGGCAGTGCAGTTAACAAAAGATGAGCAGGCACTCTACTGAGGCCAGCCAGAATCTGCCCTACTTTTTTCAGTGTTTTTCTCTCGCAAAAAATCAGCCGTAAAAATCAGCCACACAGCTGCAACTCTCTTCCTCCAATGGCCATGAGCCCCGTGACCACGAAGGCAGTGTTATGTTACCCCGCTTCCTACAAGACAAGACCACCTACTAATCAAGCACGGAGGACGCCTCCCCCACTCTACTGACTAACCTTACAGGCTACTCCCTTGGTCCGACGCGTCCTCGTAGTAGTACGGCGACAGCTTCCCGTCCCTGTCCACCACCCGCGACGGATGCGGCCTGCCCGGCTCCACCGCCGCGGCGCCCACCCGCACCTCCTGCAGCATCTTCACCACCCTCCGCATCGCCGGCCGGTTGATCGGCAGCGAGCTCGCGCACAGGAGCCCGATGTTGAGCACCCGGACAATCTCCTCCTTGAACCCCATGTCTAGCCTGCTGTCCAGGACGTGCTCCACGCCCTTCTGCTCCATCGTGCTGCACACCCACTTCACCAGGTCCTTCTCCCCAAACTCCGGGTCCACCGGCGGCATCCCCGTCACCAGCTCCAGCAGCACCACGCCGAAGCTGTACGTGTCGCTCTTCTCGTTCACGCGCAGCGTGTATGCATACTCTGTTGCAGATTCAATTCATTCAGGACAGTGTCAGGCTCACAAATCCACCCATATCGTCTTATCTTAGCACAACCACAACTGAATTCACCAAATAATCTAGTATGTATTTTTTTCCAGATAATGAACAATCTAGTATGTATATCTAGTAACAAGACACTTAAGAAAAGAAATGGAGTACTCCGTACATACCAGGCGCAATGTAACCACAGGAGCCGGCGATCACCGACATGGACATGGCCGCGCGCCCGGTCCCCTCCACCACCTTGGCCACTCCGAAATCCGCCACACGGGCACTGAATTCCGCGTCCAGGAGGATGTTGTTCGACTTCACGTCCCGGTGGACGATGGCCGGGACACAGTCGTGGTGGAGGTAGGACAGCCCCTCCGCCGCATCCAGCGCAACCTTATACCGCGTCGCCCAGTCCAGCAAGCCCGCCTTGCTGCTGTGCAGCACGTCCCCGAGGTTGCCGTTGGGCATGTACTCGTACACCAGCAGCTTGCAGTCCTTGTGCGTGCAGCAGCACCAGAGCTTGACGATGTTCTTGTGCCGGATCTTGCCCAGCGTCCTCACCTCGGCCTCAAAGCTGTTGTCGGCAGCAGAGCCCTCCTCGGCGCCGGCGCCGGCGCCGTTCTCGATATCCTTCTTGACCACCGTGCTCCACAGCTTCTTCACCGCCACCACCTCACCGTTGCTCAACACGGCCTTGTACACCTTCCCGGACGCACCGCTGCCAATGACGTTGTCCTCGTCGAGGCAATCAAGGATCTCGTACTCGCTGAATGAGAGCATGTGGAAGGACGTCAATGTCCATTTGGAGCGGTCGGCGCGCAGCTTTGATTTGCTGAAGCTCCGGTACTGCCAGTAGAACCACGCGAATCCAGCGACCAGGATGACAGCTGCAAACATGAAGATGGAGCGCATCATCCAGGCGAAGCCAGAGCCGCGGTTCCTCGACCTTCCATCTGAGTTGGCACATAAACCGGCGATCTCTCCACACAGCCCAGGGTTGCCCAAGAAACTGTTGCGGTACGTCTCCGTGGCATACTGCGGTGGCAGCGGGCCACGCAGCTGGTTGTTGGAGACATTGAATTGGTTCAGCTTCAGGTTCTCCAGCTGCATCGGTACCTCGCCGGTGAGCTCGTTGCCGGAGAGGTCAAGGTAGTTGAGCACCGGCAGGTCACCGAGCTCCGGTGGTATGGAGCCAGTGAAGCCATTGTCCGCGAGGTTGAGCTCGCTGAGCTTCTTCCACGATTGGATCCCCCGAAGCAACTGACCGGACAGCGAATTATTGCGTAGCACGAGGCGGCCGAGCTCAGCCAGGCCGCCAAACGAGGCCGGCAGCAGGGCCAGACAGCATGTTGCCGTCGGCCGACAGCTCGTAGAGCTTGGACACCGACCCGATCTCTGACGGGATGCTCCCGTCAGACGGTTGTTGGACAGCACCAACTTGGACAGGTTGGCGGCGCCGGCGATGACCGGGGAGATCTCCCCGGTGAGCTGGTTGTCGTTGAGCTCGAGAAGCGACATGTGGGGCAGGCCCCAGACGGCGTCGGGCACGTCCCCGGCGAGCCTGTTGTTGGAGAGGCGGACCCGGCGCAGCCTCCGGCAGCGGGCGAGCCCCTCGGGGATGCGGCCGGACAGCTGGTTGTCGAGCATGAGCAGCTCCTCGAGCTCGCCGCGGTCGCATACCCCCGGGGGGATCTCGCCGGAGATGGAGTTGTCGGAGACGTCGAAGCACACGAGCGGCGCGTTCTTGCCGAGGTCGGCGGGCAGCGTACCGTTGAGGCTGTTGGCGAAGAGGCGGAGCTCGACGAGCGACGGCGCCGTGGCCACCGAGTCCGGCACGGGCCCCGTGAGCGCGTTGGAGTAGAGGTGCACGGTCTCGAGCCTGGGCGCGTGGAAGAGGTCCTCCGGGATGGCGCCGTCGAGGCGGTTCATGGCCAAATCGATGGCCCTGAGCTCCTGCAGCTTGCCGAAGCCGCTGGGGATGGGTCCCGTGAGCGAGTTGTTGTAGAGCTCGATCTGGAGCGCGCTGGCGAGGCCCGTGATCTCCGGCGGTATCGGGCCGGTGAGCCCGTTGGTGGACAGGTCGAGGTCGGTGAGGTTGGCGAGGCGGCCGAGGGACGGCGGGATGGAGCCGACGAGGTTGCAGCCGGCGAGCCACAGCACGCGCAGGTCCGAGAGGCCGCCGAGCGTGGCCGGCACGGGCCCCGGCGCCAAGGGGTTGTAGGAGAGGTTGAGCTCCCGGAGCGTGGCGACGGCGCCGAGGAAAGACGGGACCTCGCCGCCGAGCAGGTTGTAGACGAGGGAGAGCGACTGGAGCTTCCTGAATCGGGCGAAGGAGTCCGGGATGGGCCCGGAGAAGTTGTTGCTGTCGAGTCTGAGGTAGAGGAGATCCGGGAGGTCGGCGAGCGCGTCGGGGAGCGGGCCGACGAGCGAGTTCATGGAGAGGTCGAGGCGCTGCAGGGCGGCGCAGCGGGCGAGCGCGGCGGGGGCGGGGTCGAGGTCGGGCCCGATGTAGTTGGTGCTGAGGTCGACGGAGCGCAGGCGCGGGAGGCGGCAGAGCGCGGCGGCCGGGAAGGAGCCGGAGAGGTTGAGGTTGGGGAGGGAGAGGTTGGTGACGGCGCCGGTGGCGTCGTCGCAGGTGACGCCCGTCCAGGCGCAGGGCGTGGCGTGGCTCGCGTTCCAGTCGGCGAGCGCGTCCGGCGGCACGGTGAGCGCGCGCTTGGCGGAGAGCAGGTGGACGCCGTCCTGGTTGAGCGCCCGGGCGGCATTGGCGAGGAGGAGGAGGAAGGGCAGGAGGGGGAGGAAGGAGGTAGGGGCAGCCATGGTAGATGCGATCGATGCCGTTGGTGGCTCAGAGTGCTTGTGGGGGTAGAGCAGGCGTCGGCATCGGCACGGGCGAAGAATGGGAATGGAATAGTGGTGATGGAGATGGCCAGTCCAGAACCCTACGGGGGGAGGAGAAGCGGAAGCGAAGCTGCCCCAGCACTGCAGAGAAAGCAACAGGGAGAAGGAGGGGCCCCGACCCGACACAAGTGACGAGCGGGGCCGTGGGAGGGAGAGACTTTGCAAGTTTTTTCACCCTCTCTTACATCAAATTTATATATATATATATATAGAGTATTAAATGTAGATAAAAAAATAATTAATTATATAATTTGATTGTAAATTACGAGACGAATCTTTTGAGCCTAGTTAGACTATGATTGATAATAATTATCAAATATAAACGAAAGTGCTACGATGCTAAATACTAATTTGTAACCCAATCTAAGGTCCAGTTTAGTTCCAGAAAATTTTGTCAAATTTTTCAGATTTTCCGTCACATACATGAAGCGTTAAATATAAATAAAAAATTAAAACTAATTACACAGTTTAGACGAAATTCACGAGACGAATCTTTTAAGTCTAATTAGACTATGATTGGACATTAATTGTTAAATAATAACGAAAAGTGCTACAGTATATTTTAAAAAAAAATCGCCGTCTAAACAGGCCCTAAACAAGGCCTGGGCGGGGGAGAGCTGGAGCCTGGTGGACAGTAACAGAGACAGCAGAGCAGAGCACAGAGCACAGAGCACAGGAGCGAGTGAGAGCAGGTGGTAATAACTAAAAAAACGAGTCTTCGGCATCGGGCGAGACGACGACTTTGACCTGCGTGTCGGTCTTGTTTTTTCACATTCTCGCTGCCAAAAATCCTGTCGGGTGGCGCTGTGTCCCTGCGCAGTGGGGTTCTTTCCGGTCAAACCACTCCTCTGCCTCGTTCAACGCTTGCTTTGGACTCCTGTCTGTCGGTGACAATGCTTAGTACGAGTACAGTACTGGAGTAGTAATTTTTCTTACTCGCTTCCAGGTAAATTTTGTTCCAAATATAAATAAATGTTAATAACATCAACTATAAATTTGGGCCATGTTTGTTTCGCTAAAATTTGGCTTACGTTGATTTGTTGTGACAGAAAAACACTGTTCGTTTCGCTGAAAAGTAGTGCTCAAGAACAGGCGTTGGTTAAAATTAAGCTAGTTTCATTTACACAAATCTTATAATTACATCATTTTGCAGTACAAGGCTGCAACAGCAACGCTGAGATTTTACAAGGGTCTCATACAGTGATCAGAGCTAATCCTATCTTGAACACAATTATCAGTATATATGGATGGACTATTATATATATATATTAAATAACACACGGTGGTCCAGGCACATGCATGGCCGGTTGGCCGTGTGACGCGGGGGGTGCAGTGTGTGGCAGATGAATCATGGATCGCGCGAATCGAATTCGAATACGAGTAGGCGGCCCGGCCCGGCCCCAAGGGGGATCGATGCTGCTGTGCATCGCGAGTCGTTTTGACCCAAGGGGGGTCGTTGGTTGTCAGCTACTACAAGGAGTACTCCGTATCTATCATCAGTCCCATCACCCTCTCGCTCCGACGGCTAGCTAGTTTTTTTTTTTAGGAAAAATTGCACCCCTACAGGCTACAGCATAATAGAATATAATAAAAAAACAAAGGTTTACAGAGCTGTGCATGCAGCAGGACACTCAAGTTTAACTAGCAAGCAACCTGCTTGTCAATTTTATTATTGCCACACAAATTAACCGATTGAAACTTAACATGCACTACTACCACTGTTTGCCTGATCGATCGATGTATGCATCATCCGATCCGATACGATCCACTGCTTAGTATCATTGTTCTTGTGCGAAAACATATCCTACCATTATTTAACGGTCTGTCCTTAATGACATGTCCATATGCCACCTAAGCTAACTGTGATTGACAGCTTAATCATTTTCCAACTTATTAATAGCTCTAATTATTAAATCGCTTTCAGGTTAATTATATTGGCCGCGCCAGGCGCCAGCCAGTCTAAGAGCAAATATAATATCTGGCTGAACGCTGACATAGAGGAGAGAGAATAGTAGAGATAGAAAAAATGGGTTCTAAGCTTACTTTCGATTTAGATACAAGAACTGAGAAACTCTATGAAAGAAATATATGGGGTCATATATTAATATAAAAAACTAACTATTATATAAATAGACTAAGAGGTAGGTTGAAAAATCTTCGCAGCCAGCAGCTGCGTGTATGATTAGTCTTGCTCTAACCACACCAGCCTACTAGCTCCGTTTCAATGCAATTACGACGTGCATGGCCTAGCTAGTGGATATGATGTCCCATCACGAGTTTTATTTCTGATCTAGGACTAGGAGGAGGAGTATATATACAATATAATATGTTGTCGGCTCCGTTACTTTCGTCTCTCGGTGACAGCAGATAATTGACGTTTTACTCCCACACTACGAACTCCGCCGAATTCAGGTTAGTTACATCCTCTGTCCCAGCAAACGATTTAGTTAACTGAAAAATAGTATATATAATTATCCACATGGCAGGCAGGACAGGACAACATCGAGGGCTTGCAGGTGGCACGGTGACAGGTGACAGGTGGCACGGTCTCTCCTTTATAATTGAGGTCGTATCCGTCGCCTCCAACTCCAATCCATTATAATTTGTGATTTTGTGCCCTCTCCGCCTCGCTCTCGTATGTGATCTGGTTAACAATACCATTAACCAATGCAATATATAATTAATAATGGATCACTCGCAGTTGCAGACGATGCATGCAGATGCTGGCAGAGTGTAATGTTCACCATGTCGAGAACAAGATGATAATATTCCCTTCGCTTCCCTGCACATGCATGCATAGATTTGCGATGCAAGCAAGGACAGCGGACGAACAATCAGCCTGTTTGGGAAGCTGCGGCAGCAACAAGAAACAGCTAAATATATATACACAGTACTAGTATACCGGATGGAAATGGAATTCAGCGAGTGACGGCCAGAATATTTGCCCCTAACGACTTGGATTCTGCTGCACATGTTCGAGCTAGGACCAACATGTATATATACTACGGAGTAATAAACTAGTACTACTAGTACCTACTGCACTACATGTGCGTGTTGCCAAATTTGAATAATTTTATGTTTTTAGAACATATCAATGGTTAAAAATACACATTAAAGACCAAACGTGGCCCTGCTCGTTTCGCTGAAATTTAGCTTATGTTAATGCTTATGTTGATTTTTTATAAGAGAAAAACACTGTTTATTCGCTGAGAAATACTCCTAAAGTAATTCAAGCGAACAGGGCCTAGTCAAATGTGACAAATATGGTTCGCGGGCCACGAACCTTCTTGTACTCCCGCTCTCTTTGTTCATTATTTGATCTCTGCAAATTAATTACATGTTTTGAGAACGCGGGATCTTTTTTATTGAATCCTATGTTTTCTCTTTTGAAATTAAATTGATTCTTATAAAACTTTCTGTGTTCAAAATAGGTTTTAAGATATAATAAAAGCCACCAAATTGAGAATTCATGAAGCCACTTTTTGACTGCTTGCATATACTCCTATCTAGATAATAGCTAGCCAGTAGTGTATTTTAGTAATAATCGATCGTCAGCTTTTTTCGATCGTTAGTTAGCACAGAATCATGGCACGTAATTACGGATGCATATATGCTGGAGAAGTATCCCACCAGTGCGATTTTTCGTCACATTGTTGGTCTGCTTCAATAATAATGATTGGAAAAATTGATTGTGTAGCATCAAAAGATCACGATCTCTGTAAAATACCATCGAAAGTTTACATCCTTGTAAAATACCACCAAAAGATTGAACCCTAAACTAAAAGTGGCATTCCATTAAAATAAAGCGACAAAAGTGACGGAACTGAAAGTAGCCTCCGTCATGCCCTTACGGGTTGTTCTCATGGACGCTCGCCGCGAACAGGAACGGCTCCTGCGGCACCACCGGCACCACGTGCCACAGCGTCCGTGCTTGCGCACGTCCTTGCCGTCCCGGCTCTCGCCCCGCCCGGTCCTACCCCACGCCGACGCCTCTCCCTGATCTCGATCTGTGTGCCTGTAACCTATGTGGGATGGAGGAGGAGGAGGGCCCCTGCAGCGGGACGTCCTCAACCGCATCGGCGACATCAAGGCGCTCGGCAGCTGAGCCCTCGTCTCGCGCTGCTTCCACGCGCTCGTGCTGCTTGTCTACTCCGTCTTCGTCCGCCTCGATTGCGTCATCCCGACGACCCGCCGCCCTCCTCCTCCTCCGTTGTACCGGGCTCCCCGCGGCACCAGCCGCTAGCTGCAGGCGCGGCGCGTTCGTGCACATCGCGCATGTCCTGGGCGGCGACATTGCCATGCGCTCGGCCAGATCCTGTCCGCCGCCGCAGCAGGCGTCTCCTGGCGCTCCGAGCCACTGCCCGCGCCCGTCGCGGACGTCTCCCACCAGTCCACCACTCGCGCTCCGAGGTGCTCCGCTCAGCTGCGGCGCCTCCACATTGAGATGGCACTAACGATGGCGTTCTCCTAAAGTGGATGGCCGACTTTGGCTCCACCCTTGGCAGCTGCGTCATCCTCGGCGCCTCGTCGGTCTCGTCCAAGCCGTTGAGAGGGCCATGGTCTGGTGGTGGCGAAGGCGATGCGCTGCTTCTGGCCGCCGAAACCTGCTGCTGGACGTGTGCTTCTTCAACTCGGCAAGGGCGTGTGCTTCTTGCCGCTGGAACCTGCTAGCGTTGGTGCAGCGGTTCTACTAGCCCACGTCCTAGCGCGTGCTCCTGTAATCCTATCTGGTAAGGACGTGCACAAGCACAACCTGCCGGCGCTGCATGTGGTGGCGGGGTGCCGCAGGAGCTGTTCCTCTTCGTGGCGAGTATCCGTGACAACATCGCGTACGGGCGCGACGGAGGCTTCCGTCACTCCCGTGACTTTATTTTAGCAGAATGCCACTCTCAGTTCACAGTTCAATCTTTCAGTGATAT